GTGCCCTACATTGGAACCCAACCTGCAGGCCTGTGGTCCAAGCCTTGTTGTATTTGAATAAGAGATTGTTTTTCTGTTATTTTAAACCCCCTGCGCAGACTCGTTGCGGGTCACCAAACTCCCAGTGCGGTCATCATTTGTCGGCTGCATGCGGAACGTGAGGATCGACAGGAAGAACGTCTCCTTTGAAGAAGCATCTCATGCGTTTGGCCCGGTGAACCTCAGAGAGTGTCCTGCAGGCTGAGAGCAGAACACTGAGCATGCTAACCACAGTTACAGTACTGGCCACAATCGGAACACTCACCCCAAACAGAACACTGACCGCAGATGGAACACTGACCACAGAAGGAACACTGACCACAAATAGAATACCGACCAAAAATGGAACACTGACCACAGCTGGAACACTGATCACAGATGCAGCACTCACCACAAACAGAATACTGACCAAAAAAGGAACATTGACCACATATGGAACACTGACCACAGATGCATGACCATGACCACAGATGCAATACTGATCACAGATGAAACCGAGACTACAGACTGAATACTGACCACAGACGGAGTACTGACCACAGGAAGAACACTGACCACTCATGGAACAGTGACCAAAAACAGAACACTAACCACTGACGGCACACTGATCACTGAAGGAACAGTGACCACCCACGGACCATTTGTCAGTAAAAGAACACTGACCATTGGCTTAGCTGCTGCAAAGAATCTGTGATGGCCATTATGAGAACACAGTCTATTTAAGGGCTCTCAGATTAGCATCTGTATCTGCTGTTAGGAAGAGAGGTGGCTCAGAACATCCTCTCCTCTTTACATAAAATGAAGGGAAACCTTACATCTGAGTGTAGCAAATACCCTTGTTTTGAAGGGGGGCTTATTTGTTTCTCTGATCTCATACCGTAAAACAATATGGAATGTTTTTTCACTCTCTGTTCAAGAGCAAATTACCATGTGCACTGGAAGAGGCATATGTGGCCTTGAAAATTATTTCCCTGTAAAAACTGAGAATGGCAAATGAACTTGCGTGGTCTTTCTATGGGATTTTTGGTATTCCTTCTTTATAATGCGTCAAATAACACTGCTACCTTGTCACACTGTATACTGCTAACCCTGTCATACTATATACTGCTAGCCCTGTCACACAGCATACTTCACAGACAAACTGGCCACTGGCATTTCCCAGCCTAAGTCATCTTTTATTAAAAAGAGCTGTTGAGAAACAAAACCCAAAAGCCTAATCTTCAGATAGACTGCTCTGACCCTCTTGTTATCAAATGCAGCATCATAAAAACATTCAAAGATGAATAAACAGGACCTTCTTAATAAAAAAAAGATAAATAGCAAAGAAGATAAATAGAAAGGGGGTTGTTGTAATGGCCTGAAAATAAAAGTTGTTGAGTCCTCAGAACATTATTTTTATGCTACAACAGACAAATCACCGTGGATATTTGTTTTTCTAATGTGCTATTTTATATGGCCCTGTATACGTGGAACATGAAATATATTTTTAGTTGATTACTGTAATTCAATAAAGTGTTTGTGGTGACGAAGACAGACTTGCGGATAAAAATTTTATATCAAACAACATTGACACTTTCAGACACTAGAGGGCACTGCCGTGCACTTCAATTTTTCCACACGTTCATTCCGTATGCATAGTTTCTGGGCAAAACCTGTCCGTTAGCATTAGTCAGTGAACTGATGGAATAATCTTGCCCACAGCTCTTTGGATTAATTCAATCTCTCGAATACGCAGTGCCCAAATTATTTGTTTGCCTTTATATTTGTAGGGAAGAGGCTGATTTCCTTTGCATATGCTCCCTATAATCTCTTACACAGTATTCAAATACACAGCGTTGAATAGCCACTTTACAATATTTTATAAATGTATTGTTTGCATTTGCGATATTTTAGCATTTCTGTCTCATTTTCTTCATTTTTATGTGTTTAAAATAATGACTGCCCACAGGCTAAATAACCGAAATTGTTACCTGAGACATTCCATCAAACACTTTATCGAACTGAGTGAGACTGAGCCAACGATTCTTACAACAATCTTTCCGCAATACACCCAAGGGTATACCTGCAGAAATCTATCACGTCGCAACTTGAGGCAAATCCAAATCGAAGAATGAATTTTGGCCAGTTTCCAGAATGTTCTCAATTCCATTAAAATGAATGTCGGGTAAATATACCGTTAAAAACGGCGGTGAATGTTCATTTCCTCGTTGGAGGAAAATTCCATTAACAGACTGAGGCAACCCTCTACCTTCCTGCATCATTAAGTAAAAAGAGACGTTGCAAAAGCACATACACTCAGCATTTTTAAACTGGGGGTTATCCCAGTCTAAGGTAAAACAGAACAGGCAGACAGTGGCGTGTGGTGGGGTATTCAACAAAGCATGGCCATCCGGCTTGGCACAGACAACATGATTTATTCATTGACCGTGCGCTTCTGTCTGCCTCGACCATCACGGACGCGCGGAGTCGACTCTGCCTCGCATCACGCAGAGACGCTCAGAAATCTCCATCCAGCCGGGGGGCCCGTGAACGAGCGTTAGAGGCGATCAGTGCACTCTCCAGCGAGCGGGCTGATGATGCGCGTTCGTGTTTGACGCGTTGAGGCTGTTGTTTGTATCTCCTCCCGTACTGACGCAACCCGCCTTCGGCCGTCACGCACCACGTCCACGCCGCACACGGCCAAACTTCGCAAAGCGCTCTCGAGGTCATCGGAACCACCGACAATATGATCAGGAAATGAAACACGACGCTGCGAAAACGGAGAAGTGTTAAACTAATTCGTATAACAAGTATGCACTTTCATGATCTGCTCAGTGCACCAGTAACTTATCCTTAACCGAGGGTAAGACTGAACACGGGCTAGCTTACTTGCTTTTCATGCTAGCACGTTTAGCACCGTGTTTAGATCTATTTGTTTGTTTTCTAAAAATATAGTGTCGCTGTCAATATATGCTAGGCAGGAAGAAGTTAAATTAAGTATAACGAATATCTCAAATATGAATTTCACTTACGAGTTATGACTGAGACGTTCAAAAAAGGAGTGAATGTTACTGTCATATTATGTCATATTATTATTATTATGCATTATAATTGCATACTGATCAGTTAATTCAAAACAAGTTCACTTCCTCTTCAGTTTTTCCTTCATTTTCATCGTCCAGTAGTCTATAATTCTTGGAATGATATAGTGAGTCGCAAGCAGCACAGCGCGCACGCCAATTTTTAAGAGCTCGTTTGCATGACGCTAGCCGGCTGCGAGCTGATTGGCCGGATAGTGTGTCGTCGGGGTGAGAGGTTGGTGCTGTCACCCACGGCTTCATTTGCGTGCGATTTTAGGCAGATCTGGGAGGGACAGACACACAAGTAGGTAAGCAGAGTAAAAAAAAATCATCCAAGGGACTAAAGAACTGTCAGTGCCGGTCACCTTCGGAATCTACTCGCGAAGAGAGGCGTAACATGCATTGGATCCGCGAACAGTAATCGGATGGGAAAGCAAACAAAAAAAACAAAAGACACATCGTTGCAAAAAATGCTAGGTTGTTGTACCACATGACTTGCCGTGTTTTGCCAGCAAGTAAAAATGGCAAACGCAAGACGAAACTCAGACATTCTGTAAATGCGTGTTTCGTGACTTCAGAATTAAGATGGGGACAGGGTGCAAGAGAGCTTTTCACCGAAATCTAAAGTAAATATATATATATATATATATATATACAGTCGGGCGTAGCTGACTACGTTTTCGTTTGAGAGTGCTTTTAGGCAGCAGCGCAGGCTGATCGTACAGCTTCGGAAAGGGGGCTGGCGTCTGCCGTTGTTGCCAGCTGAAAGACTGAACCCGTCCACCCTCCCTCCCCCTCTGTTTGCGAGGTTACGCCGCTGCGCTCCTCTCTGGCGCGTTGTTCAGTTTCGATTTTAAGGCGGAGGTTGTGGGACGGATCGCTGCTTTTATTTATCTGTCTCTTTTTTAATACCTCAGTTGTGATCGCTTTAAGCAATGGCGGGTCCCGAACAGACCCAGCAGCAAGTGGAGGCGAGAGCGGAGCGGATAGACGATGCGGAGCTGGCTCTCCGAGGCATAAACATGTTACTGAACAACGGCTTCAGAGAGAGCGACGAGCTGTTCAGGAAGTACAGGTAAGCATATGTCATCTCTGGTTCATTGCCTCCTCCCGAAAGATCAACCCGGTACCGGCATCTTGTGTTGCGCTCTGCCGGTGACATGAATCGGTACTGTCTGTTTACCAACTGCACTACACTGTTGATTCATATGATTACTGTAGGCCCCGTCATTTATACATTTTGTTGTGCTTGTAACTTTGTGTATTGTCATCGACCAGACGTTTTCAGAAGCTTGGTGACAGTGCTGCAGATCTGCACCTATGTTCAAAGTGTCGCGATCAATTATAAATCCCAAACGTCTCAAGTCTCTATGTACGCTGCGACAGTGGCGGTGGGGTATTGCACAATTGGAAGTTGCTCCATTATGTTCAACAGCAGCGCGGTTACTTAATATGGCGTGATGTGTACTAACTTGGTTGGTGTGGATTTTTCAGCTCCAGCGTTTTCTTCTCTGCTCGTCGCTCACCTGACTATCTAACGCTGTAAAGTTTCGTGCGTGCGGTACAGTCGTGCCTGGGGCCCTTCCTGCCCGGCGTGTTGAATGGTTGTGGGGGAGCGGTGCAGTCAGGTGGAGTATGACACCTGAGCGCACAGGTGAAGTGGCAGCACGTGTCATCTCTGAGGGTGTGGGGTGAGTCTGCGCTCCCTGCTGTACAGTGTGCAGCACAGTGTTAAGGAGCGGCAGTGTAGCCAGGCCTGGCGTTATGGGGGTGCTTAGGGGGTGCATTGCACCGCCAGAAATACCTCAGTGCGCCCCCAGTTGTCTATGTAGTATTTATGACTTTTTGTGCCCCCCCCGGTGGATTGCATTAGCACCCCTCTGTGTTTTCTCCTGGTGCTGGGCCTGAGTGTAGCATAGTGGTAGGGAGTAGGGCTCGTAACCGGAAGGTTGCTGGTTCGATTCCCCCTTGGTGCACTGCTGCTGTACCCTTTGGGTAAGGTACATAACTCAGAACTGGCTCTGTAAACATCCAGCTGTATAAATGGATAAAACTGTAACCTACTGTATGACACCTGAGTGTCATCACTAAGGGTGTGTGGGGCGATTCTGCGCTCTCTGTTGTAGAAGTGTTAAGGATTGGCAGTGTAGCACAGTGGTAAGGAGCAGGGCTCGTAACAAGAAGGTTGCTGGTTTGATTCCCTGCAGTGGCACTGCTGCTGTACCCTTGGCGAAGACATGGAACCCAGAAATTACTCTGTAAATATCCAGCAGTATAAACAGACAACATGTAAAAATCGTAACCTGTATAAGTGACTCTGGAAAAGAGCGTCTGCTCAATGACAGTAACGTAGTGTAATGTGGGCCAAGGTGAACGGAAAAAAATGGACCGGCCCCCCCCACGGCTCTTCCTTCCTGCTCGGAGCAGGAGAGCTCGCGACCGGTTTGCTGCAGTTTGCCGCCCCCAGGGGCCGAGAGCGCCGTGACCCTGAACTGCACTGAGCGGGTGGATTCATCCTCCGGGGCCAAAAAGCTGGTTTTACCGGCGCGAATGCAGAAGTGGGCCAGGCCCCTGCAGCCTCTGCGGGATCTGCATGCCAGAGTTTGGAACACCTGGGTGAGGACATTTGTCATGCAAAAACCTGTGTCACCTCAGGTGTGCTCAGCAAAATCCCAGATCAGAGCTGACAGGGGATAGCTGAAACAGGGTGAGGAGGAGCCAATGTACAGATAGTGATTTCCCCGACCTAGGACTGCATGCTTTCTCTGCAGCTCCTGGCAAGGCTGTTGTGCATTGTAAATGCTGTTATATTACATTACAGTATTGTCATTTAGCAGACGCTCTTAACCAGAGCGACTTGCGTACAGTAGGTCACAACTTTATCCATTTACACAGCTGGATATTTACTGAGGCAGTTGTGGGTTAAGTACCTTGCCCCAGGATACAACAGCAGTATCCCAGCGGGGAATCAAACCAGCAACCTTTTGGTTACAAGCCTTTATCATTACACTACGCCATACTGCTGTCCATGCACACTGTTCTGTTATTGATGCCTTTCAGACACTCCTGTCCAGGGAGAGCTACATAATGACAGTCCTACAGTCCACACATTATTAAACCCATCTGCATGCACTGCACAACATGCTGCCTGTTACAGCTATCATTACACCATGTCAGTATAGGAGGTCCTGTACTATACCAGATGCTCCGTGACATCATTTGTTCCCAGCTTCTGATGATGTAATGTTGACTGCCCCTCTGCTGACAGTCACAGATTTACTGGCTTTTGGCCGCACATACTTAGTTTTACTTTGTGTTTTAGTGTCAGTCTGGGAAATTAAATGGTTCTGTTTCTGGCCCAGGTTTGATAGGGGGTTCAAACGGTAATGAGTCGGCGCCCTGTGCCATTTCACGCCGTAACCGTGGAGACAATCCCAGCATGCACTGCCAGTGTGAATGAGAGAGCGCCCCTGCCTTGTGTGTCACATGTTAGTCATTTAGCTTAAGTGTCCTCTGAGGGTGATGAGTGGAGCCTTGGTGTGTACTGTACAAACATGGCTGTATTGTGTGTGTGTGTGTGTTTGAGTGAGAGAGAGAAAGTGAGTTTGTGGATGTGTATATGTAGCCTCTGTGTATTTGAGCTTATGGTGTATGCATGTGTTGGGTTTAATTTTGGCAGTCTTGCCTGCAGGAGGGGGGGTGTTCAGTGACTTGTCAAGGAGATGCTGAGTGTTGACACCACCCTGTTTTAAGAACCAGCCCTATTACATTAATTAGCTTGTTAGCAAGCGCCATTAACCAAGGTAGCTTGCACTGCTGCCATGTGCGCACGGTACCCGAGCACAGCTGGATATCTCACTGAGGCAGCCCAGGTTAAGTGTCTTGCTCAAGCCTGTTCTGGCAGCACCCCACTTGGGAGTGGAAACCTGTGACCTTTGACCTAAAGTCTTCCCTGCATCTCTCAGAGAAGCCTGGTGTTGCTCCACTTAAGCGGCAAGCAGTGGCAAGTTGCCAGTGTTTAAAAGGCACGGTTCTCATTACTGATACAGCCTTTATTAATATGCTTGGCAGATGCCTCGTCAGATTTTGGCAGATTGCATATTATCCATCTGGTTATTTAGTGAAGCAGTTCTAGACTGAGCACCCTGCTGAAATGCACAGTGGCTGTGCCCAGCCTGGGATTTGAACCCGTGACCTTTGCTTTGTCTGTCCAGCTCTTTAGCCACACTTCCTGCACTACCACCCCAGGCTGTGATTCTTGCTGTGTGTGAGGGTATCACTGGGTTCTTCTCCTGTAGACAGTACCTAATCTCTGTGGGTGTTACTAGAGGAAACAGTGCACAAAAAGGTTGTGACTACCCCCTGTTCCCCATCAGTGCTTTCCAGATGGTCCTCAAACCTAGCTGGTCATTTACAACTCATCTGTGGCTTGTTTGTGGTGGCAGTCTGTAGCATAGTGGTTAGGAGCAGAGTTTGTAACCGAAAGGTTGCCAGTTCGATTCCCTGGTAGGGCACTGATGCTGTACCCTTGGGCAAGGTACTTAACCCGCAATTGCCTTTGTAAATATCCAGCTGTTGTGACCTATGTAAGTTGCTTTGGATAAGAGCGTCTACTAAATGACAATAATGTACTGTTTGTTGTGGTCTATCGCGTGCATTTGTTAAAAATGCACTTGGCTTCCTGGTGCTCTGTGTTTCTGTAAAGGGGCAGCCTTCACCTGGCTAGTTACATTATTTAGATAAACAGTAAGTAAATGGACAGAGATAACTGTCTCTATTGCTTCTGGTGAGGAAGGTAGTAAGCGGGGGCTCTTTCCTGGCCAACTAGTAGAGGAGAGGTTAGCTACAACTGCAGACACTGCTGCCCTCTGGGTGTTGAGTTTGTTTTTCACACGGAAACTCAAAACACATTTGAAAATAAGCTGTCAGCTGTCTTGACGCTGTTAATGATCTTGTGATAGAAATGTTTGTCTGCATTTAAACACAAGCAACGGCTAAATAAAAGATATTTTTGCAGCCTCTGTGAGGGACTTTTCCTTTATATTTTAGGAGTGTGCAAAGTTCTTTTTCTAGTTTGAGGTTCCCCCCTTGGTACTTACACACCTGCAGCTAACTGAGTGATTTTGGACTGAGCCAGGGCATAACAGCTTTCTCTACAAATAAGCTGTCAGTCATAGTCTGGGCTTTGTTTTCCTGCACGTCTTATCAAAGATTATCAGCCAACCCTGACTGACTGTACCACCGCAGCACATCAAACAACCCTCTTGGGTGTGTCCTCAGCTTAAACTATATGTGTCCCTACACTTAGACTGCAACCTACCTTCAGTAACCTACTATGTATGTTAAAATGGTCAGTAAAATGTTTTCATGTATGTCAGTGTTTAAATAAGGGTCTGTGTTTCTCACTTACCAGATGTAACAGTAGATCTCTCTCATCTCAACTTCAGTGCAGACCAGGTAGTTGTCAGTGTTATTGAGTGTGTTTGTGAGGCTAGTCATGGGCCAAAAGGCCACACCTGTCGAATTGGCCTGTGGTCAAATTCATGGCTGGAGAGTTGTTTGAGTTAAGCCGTTGGTTTTGTTTCTGGCTTTTCTGAAGCTGGTTCCTTTGTTTTCAGATTTTTTTTTTGGTACGTTTTCTCTCCTTCCCTTGGAATGTGTGGTATGTCGGTCAGCACCATAACTAAAATGCCTTGCACAGTTCATGAACAATGGGAAAGTGAGGCCTTGTGAACTCCATAATGGTTGTATTTGTATTAAATGTGTATGAACCACTCAAAGAAAAAAAAACCTCTTCTTTCTATACTCTGCTTTCAGCTAATTAGACAGTGATACCCACATAATCCTGTTGGTCATGGGCAGTAACAGCCAGGAGAACTGAGAGGAAGTCCTCAACACATGAAATCCCCCACCCACACCCACACCCACACACACACCCCCTCACACCTCCACCCCCATCTAGCCCCCACCCACCCCGCACTCACCCCCACTCCGCAACATGATTTGGCAGTGGGTATATAAACGAATTCTCAACTAAGGTACTATTATTATTTGACAGGGACCACATGTAATTTTCAACATGGATGTGAGTCCATCCAATATATTGCACTGTAAGATCATATCACTGATTCAGTAGTGTAAGACACATGCATGTATTAAAGTAGCAATAGCACTAAGCACATAACCACACATTATGTAAATGCATGCTGAGATCTCAGTGCTAACCAGTTTGTCTGGGCTACTGCTTTCTTATTTGAATTTTGTTTTCCATACCTTGAATAACATTAAGTCACTTCCTTTGTCTGCCTTCCTGTATCTCTGTCTCATGATCTTACAGTCTCTGATCTCTGTTTTCGTTTCTCTTTCTCTCACTCTAAACCATAAGCAGCTTTTCAGAGGAAAAACGTTTTACTGTGATTGGAGCAATGCTGCAGGGCCCTGATTTGACCCTGTTATAATTGTCGTCCCGGTAGTGTGAGCAGTCGGGTTTGAATACCCAGGCACTGCAGGTATCGCATATAGCCCAATGCAGTCTAGCACAGGACAATATGGTGCTGTATTTTAAGCAGGGATTTGTTTTGTTTCTTTCTAGCCTGTTTTTCTCACTTCAGGAATAAACCGACAGTATGCAATATGGCAAGAATTGCACAGCAGAGTGTCTGAGGGGTGGAAGTGTGACAAAAAAAAATAAAAGAAATAAAAATCTGCTTTGAGTTACAGTATCGCTGGTATTTAAACTGTTATCAGGCCACCTGTGTTAATTTGAATTAAACTGATGAAACAAAGCATGAAGCTTTTCTGCTCAGTCTACGGAATTTCCCATGTTGCAAGGAACTGAGATAACCAGACGGTTCCAGAGTGCCCCTTAAAGTGCTGTTGTTAAAAGTCCCCCAGCAGTATTTATGCTCTTAGCCAGTGAGGGTGACTCATGTGGCGCTTTTATTCTGACGCGTTCCCCTTGTCAGCTTACTCATCA